TTTTTAATATGCAGTGTATATTGGCCAAATATAAAACTCATTGACAGGTCTTAGACACTAATTAAAAACATAGAGTCACACCCTTGTGGGTGGACATTATTCTAGCCACTTACCAATGGACCATAAAAAAGTAGATAGAATCTTAATATGTGCTAGAATAATGACAAACACTTGTGGACAATTCTTAGTCACTCATCAATGGACACTTAGTCACTCTGCTGTGGACATAATTCTAGCCACTTACCAATGGACATACAGAATAAGATAGAATCTTAATATGAACTAGAATAATTACAAACACTTTACTTATGGACAGTTTTTAGTCACTCATCAATGGACACATAGGCACTCTCTTGTGGACATAATTCGAGCCACTTAACAGCCGGCATTGAGAAGGACTCTTCGATTGCAAACACTTTAATTGTGGACATTTCTTGGTCACTCAGCAATGGACACATAGTCACTCTCCTGTGGACATAATTCTAGCCACTTACCAATGGACATACAGAATTAGGTAGAATCTTAATTTGAACTAGAATAATTACAAACACTTTACTTATAGACAATTCTTAGTCACACATCAATGGACACATAGGCACTCTCTTGTGGACATAATTCGAGCCACTCAACAGCGTGCATAGCGTGGGACTTTTTGATTGCAAACACTTAAATTATGGACATTTCTTAGTCACTCATCAATGGACACATAGTCACTCTCCTGTGGACATAATTTTAGCCACTTACCAATGGACATACAGAATTAGGTAGAATCTTAATATGAACTAGAATAATTACAAACACTTTACTTATGGACAATTCTTAGTCACTCATCAATGGACACATAGGCACTCTCTTGTGGACATAATTTGAGCCACTTAACAGCTTGCATAGCGAGGGACTCTTTGATTGCAAACACTTTAATTATGGACATTTCTTAGTCACTCATCAATGGACACATAGTCACTCTCCTGTGGACATAATTCTAGCCACTTACCAATGGACATACAGAATTTGGTAGAATCTTGATATGAACTAGAATAATTACAAACACTTTACTTATGGACAGTTCTTAGTCACTCATCAATGGACACATAGGCACTCTCTTATGGACATCATTATAGCCACTTAACACTGGACATATAGAATATGAATTTAATACACTTTACTTCAGCCACTTTATATGGATGGACATTGAATCTTTCTAGGCTCTTATCAATGGACATATAGAAGTAATCTTAATATGAATGATTACAAGTTCTTATGAACAGATCTTAGCCACACATCCATGGACACTGAAGACTGTAAAAATTAATGATCACAAACACTTAACTTCTAAACATTTATTTATTAATCACATTTTTAAAACATTAACATACATTATCTTTGCCACAGGTCAACGGACAATGGAGAAAGCACCATTATAGACAAAACTAGAAATATCACTAAATGTGATTAATACCCCCACAAGACTGCTTCAGAAATGAGGATGTTACTAGTAACAGAATACCTTGTAAAAGAATTGAAATATAGAGTTATGGTTGTTGGCAATTAAAGATAGTTGTAGTTCTTGTATGTTGCATTTCCTTTCAATGTGGTTGGCCATTGATGAAGTTTAATTGAATTACTCTGTAATAAGTCCAGAAAGACAAAGAAAAGGAACAAAGGGCAAAAAACTCTATAAAAACTGAAGATAGAGTTATAGTTCTTGTGCACTGCACTTCCTCTTATTGTGCTTGAACATTGTATGAAGTTGTTTTGAATTCCAACCAGTACGTTTTAAGTTATGCTCAGGACAAGGAAAAGTTACTATCGAAGGGCAGTAACTCTGTATTTTGTCAAAATGGAGTTATGGCTCTTGTGCACTGTACTTCCTTTTAATGTCCTTGACGGCTGTATGAAGTTGTACTGAATTCCAAACAGTAGTTTTCAAGTTATGCTCTGGACAAGGAAAAGTAACAAAAGGCAATAACTCTGTAATTATTCAAGATGGAGTTATGGTTCTTGTGCACTGCACTTCCTCTCAATGTGCTTGACCATTGTATGAAGTTATATTGAATTCCAACCATTAGTATTCAAGTTATGCTTCGGACAAAAAAGCAATGGAAAAGTAACAAAGGGCAATAACTCTGTAATTAGTCAAGATGGAGTTATGGTTCTTGTGCACTGCACTTCCCCTTATTGTGCTTGACCATTGTATGAAGTTGTTTTGAATTCCAACCAGTAGTTTTCAAGTCATGCTCTGGACAAGGAAAATTAACAAAGGGCAGTAACTCTGTAATTAGTCAAGATGGAGTTATGGTTCTTGTGCACTGCACTTCCTCTCAATGTGCTTGACCATTGTATGTAGTTATATTGAATTCCAACTATAAGTCTTCAAGTTATGGTCCGGACAAAAAAAAAAGCAATAGAAAAGTAACAAAGGGCAATAACTCTGTAATTACTTTAGATAGAGTTATGGTTCTTGTGCACTGCACTTCCTCTTATTGTGTTTGACAATTGTGTGAAATTGTTTTGAATTCCAACCAGTAGTTTTCAAGTTATGCCCCGGACAAGGAAAAGTAACAAAGGGCAATAACTCTGTAATTAATCAAGATAGAGTTATGTTTCTTGTGCACTGCACTTCCTCTCAATGTGCTTGACCATTGTATGTAGTTATATTGAATTCCAACCATTAGTCTTCAAGTTATGCTCCGGACAAGGTAAATGCAACGGACAAAAAAAAAGCAATGGAAAAGCAACAAAGGGCAATAACTCTGTAATTACTTTAGATAGAGTTATGGTTCTTGTGCACTGCACTTCCCTTTATTGTGTTTGACAATTGTGTGAAGTTGTTTTGAATTCCAACCAGTAGTTTTCAAGTTATGCCCCGGACAAGGAAAAGTAACAAAGGGCAATAACTCTGTAATTAATCAAGATAGAGTTATGGTTCTTGTGCACTGCACTTCCTCTCAATGTGCTTGACCATTGTGTGTAGTTATATTGAATTCCAAGCATTAGTCTTAAAGTTATGCTCCGGACAAGGAAAATGCAACGGACGTCTGGACCGACCGACCGACCGCCCGACAGACCAACCGACCGACCGACCACCGGGTGACTCCTATATACCCCCCCAAACTTCGTTTTTGGGGGTATAATTACAAATTAAGTTGCATTGTATTTAGGAAATGTATGTGTTCTTTTGTATATTTTGTAGAAAAACTGAAGAACAGACCCGCAACTTTAAAGTGTTTCGAAGAAGACTTTGAATGGGCTGCTAGAGAGGTTGAATTTGCATTTAATCGGAGTGATACCAGTGGCACTAGCCCACATTCTGCCAGTCAGTGTGACTCTGGTGGTGGTGACATAAAAGAAAATGTGGAAAACAATGCGTCAGGACCAGTAGAAGAGGCAAACACTCTGACAGAACCTTGCATCAATACTCAACCCACTGCCAGTCAATGTGACTCTAGTGGTGGTGACATAAAAGAAAATGTGGAAAACAATGCGTCAGGACCAGTAGAAGAGGCAAACACTCTGACAGAACCCTGCATCAATACCCAACCAACTGTCAGTCAATGTGACTTTGAGTTTGGTGACATAAAAGAAAGTGTGGAAAACAGTGTGTCAGAACCTATAGAAGAGGCAAACACTCTGACAGAACCCTGCATCAATACCCAACCCACTGCCAGTCAATGTGACTTTGAGTTTGGTGACATAAAAGAAAGTGTGGAAAACAGTGTGTCAGAACCAGTAGAAGAGGCAAACACTCTGACAGAACCCTGCATCAATACCCAACCCTCTTCTAGTCAGTGTGACTTTGAGTTTGGTGACATAAACGAAAGTGTGGAAAACACTGCATTAATACCCAAGCCACTGCCAGTCAATGTGACTTTGAGTTTGGTGACATAAACGAAAGTGTGGAAAACAGTGTGTCAGGACCAGTAGATGAGGCAAACACTCTGACAGAACCCTGCATCAATACCCAACCCTCTGCCAGTCAATGTGACTTTGAGTTTGGTGACATAAAAGAAAGTGTGGAAAACAGTGTGTCAGGACCAGTAGAAGAGGCAAACACTCTGACAGAACCCTGCATCAATACCCAAACCTCTGCCAGTCAATGTGACTTTGAGTTTGGTGACATAAAAGAAAGTGTGGAAAACAGTGTGTCAGAACCAGTAGAAGAGGCAAACACTCTTATAGAACCCTGCATCAATAGCCCACCCACTGCCAGTGAGAGTTCTGAGTGTGATAACTTAAATGGAGGTATGAAAAACTACATGACAGAAACAATAAAAGAGACTGAAACACTGATAGAAAGCGGTGAAAATACAGAGCATTCTTCCAGCGAAGGTGAATCAGATAATGATTACATTTCAGTTATGCCATGCAGTTCTAGGTATAAAAAATATTCAGAAAGTGATCAGTCAGAATCAGAGTATGTAGAATGTTCTGACCTTGAGGAATGTACTGATGTTGGGGCATCAGCTGTTCATGGCCCTGTGTTGGATGAAAAATACAAAAGTCGTGACATAAATCTTCCAGACATCTACATTAGGAAACTTAGGAAAAGCGCATATAGTTCAAATGCACAGGCAGCACGAAAAAAAGCGTTCAATAAGAGGGTATATGATAATTATCATGCTTGCCTGTACTGTGGTGTCATGGTCCAACATATTGATACCCATCTACGAAATAAGAAACATAGGAAAATTCCTGATGTAAAAAGATTGCTCGAGGAAGAAAAACCAGATTTCTTGGGAATCCAGAAATTAGGGGATCACAAACACAATGTGAGAGTTTTGAAAGAAGGACGTGGTGAACTCATTTTAAGAAGGAGACCAAGCACTTACCTTGATGTACGTGAGTTTGGGCCATGTCCTGAGTGTAAGCAGTGGATTTTGTTGAAAAACTTAAAACAGCATTATAGAAATTGTGCTACACGAAAATCAAAGGTAAAGAAGGGTCAGCTTATAGTGCAGAGCCAGGTTCTTGCTGGAGTCATCAGTACAAGACCTTCTAAACTGATGCTTCAGGAAGTATTTCCTATTATGACTAGAGATGATATAGGTACAGTGGCACAAAATGACCCTCTCATTGTAGCTCTTGGAGAGAGTTGGCTAAGAAGGTCCATAGATAATGAAGCAAAAAGAAAATATTACACTTCTCAACACATGAGACTGATGGCAAGACTTTTGATTGAACTAAGGAAAGCAGATGAGAAAAATGCTGAGAAGGCTTTAGATGAGTTTATCAGAACTAAATACTATGACGCTCTAATGGCAGCAACAATTCAATGTTGTATGCCATATATGGATGATGAAGAGGACCTGAAGTCACCTAGTAACGCAATTAAGCTGAAATATGATCTAATAAGAGTAGTCAATGCAAAATGGGCACTTCTGGTGCAAGATAATCCCCATAGCCTACATGCTGAAGAGATGATGAAATTTGATAGGCTGATTTCTGTACAGTGGGGAGAGAGAGTAACTAAACTTGCACGTGCTGTTTTGGTACGCAGACGGTTTAAGATGAAGAAAGAGTTGCCAAGTCCAGAAGATGTTATGAAACTGACGAAGCACATTGTCAGTGAACTAGAATCGACAGCTCTCACACCAGAGAATTTCTTTCGAATAGTGCAGTTGGTACAAACTAGACTGCTTCTTTATAATAAAAGGAGAAGTGGAGAAATTGATGCTGTCAGGTATCCTGTTAGTTATATTAATTTTTCAGTTGTTAGTCAATTCATTAAATATGATAACTAAAACAGATGTATGTGACTGTGCATACTTTGATTATTAAATGTTCATTTTAGCATAAATTTATAATTTGAATATCATGTGAGCATTTCATTTGGTAGAAAAGTATGTCTAATGCTGTAGTGTCTGTTCAATCAGAAAAAATACTACAGTAATGATAGCCGGAATGTTAAATATATACTATAACTTAATTGTACATGTGGTGTTTAAAGATCTTTTACTTTGCAGCTTGGAAAGTTTTGCTGGTAAAACTAAGGAAATAGATGATTTGGATCAGTCAATGCTAGGTGAATTAACAAAAGTAGAGCAATACCTGCTGAAAACACAGGAAATGATGATAGTCAGAGGAAAAGTAAGTGTAATTGTGTTTATGTTGTATGCATTTGGTGGCATTAAGATTTTCTTTACTTCAAGAAAAGATCTTAGTAAAAGTATTTTAATATTTCATTAAAGTTCCATATTCAGCAGGTCACATGAAAATAATATGATTGCTCAAATCCTTGTTTAGTGCTTCATGTTCTCAGACTTAGTGTTAGTACTTGAACTCTGCTTTTGTTTTCAGAAAAAAAATGATCATATATACATGTATCTATGCCTATAAAATAGCAATTGCCTAACATACTTTTTTGTAATAAATATTTGGACATACACAGTTGCCGTTTTGTTGTATGTTTTTGTTTTTTACAGGGAAACAGACCGGTCCCAGTTCTTATTCCAGGAGATGCCAAAGAACCTCTAGAGTATATTGCTTCTTGGCAAGCAAGACAGAGCCAAAACATCCCCGCAGCCAACAAGTACCTGTTCCCAATCAATGGTAATGCTATTTCCAAGCTTTCTCCCATTAAGCTTGTTCAAATCTCTACACACTTTAATATTTGCCAGAAGACCTTTGAATGTTGATTTATTTAGAAAAAAACCTGAAATATTACTTTAAAAAGTTCCTTAATTTAATTTAATTATTGGATAGACTATAAAGAACTAGGAATTTCCTGTTGCTACCTTAGGCTGTGAATTACAATTTCCAAAAAATCAGATTGTTAATTCTTAACTCTTACTCACCTAGATCCTTGACCTTAATATGACATACCTGAATTAGTAACCGCCCATTATCGGCATTAGCCAATCAGAGCGTCCATTTTGCATAACAGCGAATCGCCTACAATGGTGAAATATGCAGAGATCTGCCTGCGCCATTGGCACTAAAAAATGAGAATGGCACAGGAAAATTGTCAGCAAAGGGCCATGAGTGCATCTAAAATCTGTGCCAGACTTATATTGTATGTTATTTAGTCATCCAGACAAAACTGGTACCAACAGGTTACCCATTCCCCTGTAATTACGTATATTCTTGAGTTTATCCATTTCCCCATAGCATTTTTCCAAGTTATAGATTTACTTACCTCATCCCTTTCCATTTCTACTACCGTAAATTTAATCCAATGAAGCAAACAAAAAATCAATAATCTACTTAATATTTTGAATAAATATCGGTAACTGAAAAAAAAGTGTTGCTATTTTAAGAAATGCTGTAAGTTACAGTATAATCTGACAGGTGTGTAAATTGAATTCCCCTAAGGTCACTCAATTCACGCGGAGTGTAGAAAAAAAAGATGTCTATTACGTCATCAGAATATTTGACAGGGTGATTAACCAATCAGGGAAACATTGTGCATGACTTTTTTTATGATTAAAAGGTCTGTCTGTGTATGCTTTCTACACAGAGACATACAAGGAGCAATAAAAGTCGTCAGTATGTACATGTTTACAGTGTGATAGGGACATTTTGTGCGAATTACGAACAATTAAAATGGATAATGCACAGTATTAGACATAAGTAGTAAGAAAATATAAATTATGCGAATTAGATTTTTGAGCAGCCAATAAAAATTGTTTTGCCTGCAATTAATATTAGTACCAAAAATAACTTTTTTTTAGACTTTAATTACTTAATCTCTTGTTATAAAAACATGCAAATCATGTCAAGGATCTGCTATTAAAAAAATATTTCTGCTAAGACGAATTTATTTTGCTACATGACTCATTGATTTTGCTAAAGGACTCATTGTTTTCAAACATGTGCGTCATCCGACGCATTGTAAGGAATTTCTAGATTAATCACTGTGACATACCTTTCCTTAAAATAAATTATTTTTCAAGTCATTTAACTAAGAAAAGACTTAAGGCCAGGTTTAGGTAAATATGTTGCTCTTGTTAGTTTTTGTTGTTGTTTTTTCTGTTGTTCCTGAACTTCCTTTTGCAAGCTTTAAGTATTAACAGTGATTGATAAATGTATTTTAACACATTCTCCTGTACAGGGTTGACACACATGAGGGCATATGATTCTCTAAAACGTACCTGTAGTGAATGTTGTCTGACTGCTCCCAGTAGAATCACAAGTGTATCAATGAGGAAGTACACAGCCACATTGTCTCAGGTAAAATTTTATCTCTGTCAGGGCTCATAGTTGGCCAAAATTTTTACCACATATTGTCACATTTCTAGTCTGTTACTGTAAATTAATATTTAAAACTAACAGTTTTCTAGTTGTTTGTTGGTTTTTGCAAGCAGTCTATTTTATAAATGTTTTATTTATTTGATGTCAAGAAATGTGAGGTCATATTCCACACTTGTATGCCAAAAAGAATATGTGGTAGATGTGTCATAAAAAATGTTTGATTCCACAGGTCCTAAATCTAGACCCTTACCAAGTAGAATGGCTTTGTCGTCACCTGGGACATTCTGCAGATATTCACAAGTCTTATTATAGACACATGTCAGGATTTGTTGAGAGGGTCCAATTAAGCAAGTTGTTCTTGGTACAGGACCTTAACATGACAAGCAAATACAGAGGAAAAAATCTTGAGGAGATAGACATATCAGGTACAATTGATTTCGGATGGAAAATAACAAAAAAAAGGCTGAACTTTACATGCAGATGTACTTGTTTCTTTATATGGTTAACCATCAACATGTTCATTTATTGTTCAATAATCAAATAGTTATAGAAATTTTCTTTTCTGCAAACTTTCCTCAGCCCTTGTCGGGTTTAAACTGATTCTTGTTTGATTGGCATATTCTCATGTTTGCTGCAAATATGCCAAATGTTTTACTAGTTTATAAATTGTAAAGCATTACCTGATGTAATCAGAACTAACATTTACTTATTACATGTTACACAAGCATAAACACATGTATTTCACATCTTATCCTGACATTTGCTGAAAATTAAAACCCTA